TGTTAGCACCTAGATGGCTATGGCCTTGGATACTCCTTGCTCTACTCACACTAAACGGAGTGATGTCCGCCCGAGACTGGGAATTCCGACAGAGGGACGCCTATGTGGTGTGGGAGGCTGACGTGGAAAGTAAAGAAAATGCTGATGTGCGGCTACGTCGTATGTTGGTAAACTCGACCGAGATGAATATTGCAATACATAAGGCTCTGAATGTGATTGAAAGAATACCTATTGCGTGGAATTGGAGTGACCCTTTGGTGACTAGAGTGGCTTATGTAATGGCAATACCGACGTGTGGAGTGGTTTCGGTGATTCTAGCAGTAGTTCCGCTGCAGTTTATGGTATTTGTGATTGGTACGGTAGTGATATTGGAAATTTTCTGGACTCAGGAGAAGAAGCGAAAAGTTTTGGCTAGTGAAAAGGAGGGAGGATCGTCGGAAGAATTCGGTGAAAGTGAGCGAAGTGGCTTTGGTGTTGGCGAAAAAATGGGAAAAATTACGAATTTATTGCGGAATTTTTTCTGGATGATTCCGGACGATTATGAACTGGGACATCGGTACGTCGCGAACACGCAGAGGGTTGGTGTCGGCGGAGCGGCGAAAAAAATTTCCGCGGATTTTCGGGTGAATCGGTGAGTATGATATTCTGAGGTTGTACGGTATGTTTTATTTACGATTGAGCTTTTATTAATGAAATAATTCTATTGTTGTTAATAGTACAGTTTCGAATTTCACACCTACGTGGTGTTGTCTTTGGGAAAAAATGGCCCACCTCTCGAAGTTGTGTTCGATTTTGATAGTCCAAACGGGTGGGTCTATCACTCCCACCCCTCCCCCACAAGTGAAACGGTGATCGATGTAGCGCTATCGGCTATTTATTTAGTTCTCAAATCTAGTTAGCCTTATTATGTGAGGGTTTGTTTGTGAAATTATGCGTATTGGAAATGATATGCACTTTTCCCGTTTAGGCTATCAAAATCGAACACACTATAGAGGAATATTTCCAAGATTTCCAAGATTTCAACGAACTCTCTCGAATGGTAGTTGAACCAATTCTATACTCTCTATACTTGAAAAGTTATGACGATATGGAGAAAGTCCTGGCAGAGTCCACCATCTATCGATGGTCCAACATAGCGATATGCAACGATGCTCTATCATTTCACTTTGGAGCGGTAAACCCGACCGGCGGGCCTATGCCATCTCTGCAGAAAGATGAACTATGGATAGTTACGCAAAGACTGCGAAATTGATTCTGCAGTCAGCACTTGAGAGTATGAAATTAAATCAGTTGAACAGAGCACCGGATGACGAGTGCTCCAAAATGACGGCTTAATCTGTCTGATGTTCGTATGCGTTGAGATATTACGGATGTAGGGAACTTTTTTTGTTTTTTT